CGTAACGGCAGCCACCGGGGATGGTGGCGATGCCACGGCAGGGCGTGGGGTGGGGACCGTGTCCTGGGCACTGCGGGCACTGTGTCCTGGTCCTGGTACTGCATCCCCGTGTGGGCACTGCGTTCTGGTCCTGGTATTGTATCCCAGTGTGGGCTCTGGATCCTGGTGTGGGCACTGCATCCTGGTGTGGGGACCAGATCCTGGTGTGGGCACTGCATCCTGGTGTGGGGACCAGATCCTGATGTGGGCACTGCATCCTGGTGTGGGGACCAGATCCTGGTGTGGGCACTGCATCCTGGTGTGGGGACCAGATCCTGGTGTGGGCACTGCATCCTGGTGTGGGGACCAGATCCTGGTGTGGGCACTGCATCCTGACATGGCACCGTCACTCTTTGGGGTTCCCCCTGGTTCTGGATCCTGAGCATTTGAGGTGGAGACACAGTGCACAGGCACACAGGGCCATGAGTTTTGGGGCTGCTTTTTGGGTTTTGCCTGATCTGGGATAAATTTTGGTCCCTGCCCAGCGTTGCTGTGAAGCTCCTGTGTTTTGCAGGGGTGAAATGAGGATGCTGTGGGAATGTGAGGCCATGGGACAAAGCTGGATACGTGGTTTGGATACCCAGGGTAGTGCAGAGCTGCAGAGGCAGGGCATGTCTTGCAAACAAATGTGACTACATCTCACTTGAGCCGTGGGGAGATTCAGCAAAGACCCCTGAGGAGGGCTCCCTGCCTGCCCCAGGCTGGCTTCACCCCTTCAGGTCCTTCCTCCCTCTGCAGCCACGTTTTTCCTGTGTAACTCATGGCAGCCCATCCTGGCTTGGGGCTCCAGGCCAAGTGTGAGGGAGTTCCACATGCAGCCCCTGTGGCCCCTTTGCTGCAGAACCAGGTGCCAAAGCATGTGTGGTGCATGGTGGGAGCCATCCCAGAGGGATGAGGATGGGAGTTTGGGGCAGCCAGGGGCCAGTGGGATGCTGGACATGTCCTGGGCTGCCTCTTAGTAATCCTTGCCAGCCTTGGTGCCAGAGGGAACGGTGAGAGAGGAAGATCAAGCAAGGTGTCCCATAAAAAATAACTGGCCATGGCTGCACCAGCTCCTGTTGATGTTTACGAGGGAAAAGGACAAAAAATTAACAGCTGAGATGTACCAAAATGTGGTGGAATATTTATTCAGTGGGCAAGGAGCACCCAGAAGGGCAGAGGCCCCAGACCTGTGAGATAAACACAGAGCTTGGGTGCCTTTCCATGCTGTGAGGAGGACAAGGTGTGGGAAAGGTGCTGAGTCTGAGAGCAAGGAATTAATCTTCCCTGGATGGCACCACAGCTGGGCTGTCCCTGACATAGCACCGATGCTCAGCTGGTCCCACTGGCTCCTTGGCATGTGCTGGCACTGATTTCCATGGGTCGCACTGCAGGGTAAAGAAAAACATTTCTCTGCAATGGCCAAATATTTTTTTCTCTATGTTATGGAGGCCAGATGTTAGCTCCAGGCCAGCACAGCCACAGGTGTTTCTGCTCAGGATTTTACAGCCTCCTTAGAAGAGGTATCTCCTCCCCAGCATGGGTCCTGCAGGACCAGTTTGAGAGATGTGTGTAGCTTCAGGAGCAGGTCTAGGACATGTGAGTTCATGCAAAAACCAAGTCTCTGGAACAATCTGGTTGCACAATCCCTCTTGGCTTTGCCATTCGTCGCTGCAGCTCCAGCTTGCGGCTGATGTTGGATGAAGCAGCATGAGCAGAGCCCCAGATGTTTCCAGTGCTGAGTGTCTGAGAGATGCTTGGCTGCTTTCTCTCTGCAGAAGGTGGACAGTGCTCTGACCCATGGGGTAGAGGGGACAAGGCAGGTGCTGCCTCCTGCCCAGGCAGCCACTGTAGCATGCTTGGCCAGCGGAGAAGGATG